TGAAAAACTCCAGCAATGCGGGGTTTGTTTGGGGGGGGGTGGTTTACCTTTCCCGTTTTCAAGGGAGGTTTTCCCCTGTCTTCTAAACCAAGACAGGTTTGTACTACTGTTAAAAAAACCCCCACTAGTTTCAGTGTTTTTCCCCCTGTCCAAACTGTGTATGCTAAATCAAGTCTCTGCATTTACAGCTTGTGTTTGTAAGGCCCACAGAAAAATATTTTGCTAAAGGAAGCAGACTTAAAATACAGGGTCTTGCATCCATGTTTTCGTTTGCTTTTTATTTACAGTTGACTTGTATAATACTTGGTTCCAGAAAATGGAATTTATCTCTCTTGCAGCTGTGCAATTTGTGCTTAATAAACCAAGGATTTCTTTGATTGGTAAATGGTATATGACATTGTATTTGAAGGAAATCCAATAAATTCATTTTGCATTCTACCTAAAAATCTATCCAAAACTTCTATTAAAAGAAAAACTGAGTGTTAAAACTGTCACTTGAATCCTCAGATCACGTTCTGCATTGTATTAAAAAGGGTTTTATCTGTTCAGATTATGAAGCAAGGACTGTCTTTACTGTAATCTGTGTAGAATATTATTGACATTAAGAAAATTGATAGTATTTTCAAAAGGCCTCTTTGTTTCGCAGGCATTACAGGTGTAACTTCCCTTATTGCATTCCTAAGTTAATGTTAAAGTCCCTGAGAAATATGTATAGCTAATGCTTAAGAAAGGAAAGTAGCTAATGCTTAGAAAGTAGCTAATGCTACTGCTTTAAACTTTCAAAATTTTCCCTCTATAATTAAATTAGTAACGCCTAAGGATTGCATCTGAATGGTGTGCAATTAGATTTAATAAGTTACTCTACCATCAGACTGACATGATTTCCAATGTTTGTTCTTCCCCTGTGCTATTTCAGCTTTAAGATTATTATAGTCCCATATTTGGAAATAACTCTTTGTTTTTACTTTTGTGCATTTGCTACAGATTTCCAGCTGTTAAAAGCAATATGATTATGTTTGTGGTTTAGGATGATTATCATAGAGCTGTAAACATTGTGCCCAAGAAACCACCACTGCTTGAAAGACCTGGGGAGGGTAATTACAGTCGATACGATGATTACGGTCACACTGAGTACAGAGACTACGAAGAAGGTCGCAGTTTTGCCCATGACCGAAGAAGTGGCCCCCCACACCGAGGTGTACGTAAGGTGATACTTCTCACATGTTTACAATGTTTATCTTCTCATTAATGCTTGAATACTGAACAATTAAAATATTATTTCAGACAGACCATTGATGTTACTGCACTTCTCATAAATTGAAGTATAATGAATAGAAAAAAAAATGGGGTTTGATACTTGGTTCTTTTTTGCAGTTACTGTGCTTCTAAGACACTTTTGATTATACAGTAATACCTGTTAGCTGCTTTTTGTGGTTCCTAGCTACTCTGTTTTCTTGGAAAAGAGCCTTTGTCCAGCATAGTGGAAAGCTCAGAGTCTGAACTAAGAAAAAGAGTGGCCAGATGTCCTCTCCGTATTGCAGCACAAAGTTACCTATATGAATAGAAGAATGATTGCAAAATCTTTCTGTTTAACAAGTCCTTGCACATGCAGCTTGTTGAATGTTGTCAACCTATCCTTCTAATTCACGGTTGTTCAGTTATTTAAATTCCATCATGATGTCGAATGCATTTTTTTCCCAGTTGCTACACTTAAGTACAAAATTTATGGTTCCTTTGAAATGTCATTACTGTTGCCTCCTCCAACCCAGCTGTTTGAAATTCTGTAATTTCAATGAGGAAGATTTTTGGGGTTTTTTTCCTTTCTTTTTTTTTTTTTTTTGAAGTCAGAGCAGGGCTTGTGTATGTAGTTTGGAAGTTACTGTAGTTTTTGTGTTTTGTACAGCATTGCAAAGTTGCTCTCTTTAGTATCAATAGAGGAAGAAAATAAGAGGAATTAAGTAGAGTGAATAAACTGAAAGGAACCTTGCTGTGAATGACTAACACTTTCTTTTAGCTCATAAAATGTTTTGGTTTTGTGGTAAATTGGTTTTGTGGAAAATAAGTACCGTTTGACAACTAAGTGTACGTGACGTCTGATGTCGAGGTCTATGTCACACAATTGTTTTGCATGTATGTTTTGCAGGATGAATCAGGATACAGATGGCCAAGGGATGATCATCCTATAAGTCGGCAGCCTGAATACAGGTATTTCATAAGACTTTACAGTAGTGCCATGCACAGACTGGGGCTGTGTAGGGCATTTTTCTTCATTAATCAAAACAGTTTGTAGAGCAGAGCAGTGAAATGACAGGGATATGGAAAACGACGTGTGTCAAAGTAAAAGATGGTAGTGGAAAACTGGTTTCTACTTGTATGGTTTGAAATACAAATCAGATAAATGATACAACGTGAAAGCCTCTGTTTTAGTATTTGTTCAGTAGGGATCAGTAGGGTGTTCAGCTGGGACTGTAATTTAATTTACTGCATCTCCTTAATCAGTCATGCTTTTCAGATGACTTCAGAGAATTCTTTGGTCTAATACTTGCTTTTGTAGCTGCAGTAACTTGGGGCCACAACACGGTGGAACGATACCTGTGCCATTTCAAAGTTGGTGTGGTGGATAATGAATGGAATTACGAAATTCATCACAGTCTCGTTCTGACCTCCCTCTTTTCTCAGCTGGACTGATGAGTAACTGTTGCCATGATAAATTATATTCATTTCTGTGAGCGTTTTGTAGTCTGTACCTCATGTTCCTGTCTATGAAATGTCAGGAGTAGTATTAAAGAGTAGGGTGGTAACATAGATATGCCTGCAATGATGTTTGACGTGGAATTATTTGATATGCTAAATAATATTTGATATGGTAAATTGAGTGTAGTGCAGGATAGTGCTACACTCAATTTATAGACAAGGATGAAACCCACCTTAAATACTCAGACAAGAATTACTGTTAGTATAACTATCTAATCTAAGAATGTCATCTCACGGCTGTACTTCGTGCCACGTGCTGTGTTTGCACTTCTCGGGGTGTCTGCTCTTACACCAGGCCCGTATTTCTATGTACTGCATCATGATGTTAGATAGAACAGAATGATTACTTGTTTCTGCTATCTATATAAAACGATGGTTGCACCATAAAAAGATCAACAAATTAAGCCAAGTTAGCTATGACTACCCGGTTAATTAGAAAAATTGCTGTTAAGCTTGCACCAAGTTTAAAGATAGATTTCAGGCATGTCAGGAAAAGCTCAGGCAAAGCGAGCCTGCCAAGCTTGCTCAAAGACTCAGTCTTGAGGCCTTGCAAACTCAATATGAAGCTGTTGGTAGCAATGGCAGTACGGTGCTACAGGGCTGCACAGTTGCAGTATATATTTATTCCTTTGAATGGGATGATTTAGACATAGGATAACTAGATTATCACATAAGTTCACCATAAAAGAAATCCTTCATGTACCATAAGGGTCTATGTGTGCTAGACTTCTTTCATAGTTGCATTCTTGGAGCTATAAGCAACAGTAAAGGGGTTTGAAAAGTAGTAAATGTTTTATGGAAACTTGTGTAAAATTATTCTGTCTTTTCCTCCCACTTTATAAGAATCAGAGTTTTTTAAAGGTGAGGAAAAAAACCCAAAAGACTGAAAAGACCATGTTACTGCTAGGCAATTTATTTTACACAGAACAAGAGTGGCACCCAGTGGTCAAAAAGATTGTCTTAAATGCACCCGGATTTCTTCCCATTTAAAATGTGAGGATAAAACATCATATTGTTTTGCTGAAGGTTTTAAAAGCATGTTACGTGATAGGCGATAGTCCCATCTGAGTCTTTATTATATATTTCAGAATATGTAGCTGTTATACAACTGCAGTTATTGTGGAAGAACTTCATAAAGATACTTGGTTCAGCTGAGGATATGGGAATGTATTTGCAATTGAATGAAGCTCCACTGATTTCTTATATAAATATGCATTAGCGTGTCAGAAGTCTGATTGTTCAGAAGAGCACAGGAATAGTTAATAACCTGTAATGTAAAATCCTGTGATCAGACTGCTAAACACTCATAGCATCACATGCTTGTAATAAACTTAATTATAATTATTTGCATATTGCTCACTATCGAGCTAGATAGTGGATCTCAACAGAGGAAATCGAAGTACCAGTACTTGGTGTATACTATCTCTTGTGGTGAAAAGACTAATTACTTTATATTTCAAAGACATTTGCAGTATAAAACATTAGATTTAAGAATGATTATGTGTGAAAATGCTTTCTCTTTGCATATGATGAAAGTGATTTTTGTCTGAGTTTTTCTGGAGTACATATAATTATTTTTTCTTTGAGGTAGTACAAGGAGATTTAAGATTACTTTAACCAGAAATACTTTTTAAAAAATTGTGTGGAACATGACTAAAACATAGTACAAAGATTTGTGAAGCTAAAGACATTCGGAAGGCTTGTAAAGTTCATGAGTTTTTATAGTCAGTATCGTGACTGTAAGTTCTAAAAAGAACAGTGATTTTATTGCTGTAAATCACGAGTTTTCTTGAGTATTTCTAAAAACTCATTCAGCAGCTAAATATATGCTGTTAGAAGTTGTTGTCAATATTTATGTTTAGCATTTCCTCTTAAGCATTCATCATTTACTTTGTCCTGCTTTGATTTTTGGCAGCTTAACTGTCATAAAGTAGTTTCTGACCTCTTTCTATTTTTGTTCCCCCTATCTTTCTTTGAAGTGATGAAAAACATTACTCAAGATTTTCCCAAAGTAAAAGAAGCTACTTATCTGAAATATCACAAATCTTTAAATGATGCAGAATTTGGAAGGGGGGGGTGGGGTGGGGCAAAAGGATCCCGTGTTGAAGAAACCAGCTATTAGGGTTTTTTTTGTTGCTCTTATTTCTTTAGTAGTTTTTTTTTTTTTTTTAAAAGCTTCTTGCCTTTTCCTTGGAAATAAGGAATGTTGCTTGTTTAGCAGTTGCGTAACTGTGGCTTGGGCTTTGACGTCTCTGCTGACCAGTAGCAGTTCTCTGTGAGTGGTAAAAGAATTGTTGAGGTTCCACCACTTGGCTTAGCTGTCTTTCTTTTCTTGCTTTCTTTATATGCATTTATACTTAGGTTCCAAGCAGCTGTCACTTGCCAGTAGTTTACTATTGAGTGGAACATTCCTGATCCTTCTGCTCTTTTCTGGACCACTCAGCTGTTGAGAATTATTAGCCCTGTTTCATACTATGTGCAGTGAGCAGCGCTCATCCTGGCCATGAGTTCTTTATGGTAATATATTCTGTATGTAGAAAATAAAATAATTTCGAGGATGTTCTGGGCATAGATTTCAAAATGAGTTTCCAACCCTTTTTCTCTTGTTTTGACCTAAGGGATTCTTGCTGAATTTCTGAACTCCAGGAACTGTTGTAAATTTTGTAGCCATGTAGTCATAGCTCGGCTTGAAGTGTCCCTTTGATTCAAGTCTAGTTGGCATGTAAAAAGAATTGTACATCAAAGCAGCATCTCCTAGTTTGGAGAACAGAGAATTTTCTGATAGTTTTAATGCCTTGGTTGCTGGTGCTGTGAGAATTGCAAATCTTGGAAATTATGAGAAGAGATCAAATAATACATGACTTCTTTGTACATTTATCTTTTACTGATGTTGATCACTTCTGAGGCTGTGCTACTACTTGTCGTTAGTGATATATCAAACTCATTTATTCAAAGCACTTGAATTATTTTTTGCACGTAATTTTATGAAAAATTGCAGGGAACTATGCTGTTGAAGAACTTCAATTTTATGGTACTTCTTTATGGGCCTCATAGCAATGGATTTTTCATACAAATTCATTTTTGTAAAATCAGGTGAGCTTTTCAGTGTGAAATGCTTTAGAAGATTGTTAGCTGCTGTTTGCTTTAGTCATACCAAAATTTAATCCTTTTGAGTACATAGAGCATTACTTCATTTTTTTTTTCAGCCAAACTGAGTTAATAAGATGTGAAATATGCGAAACTTGGCAACTTAAGATGGGTAAGACTCATCTTCAAAGAGAAATTGCAAAATGACGCACTTGTAAATCCCAGGTATATGTGCATTAAATTTGATCCTTAAAATTATCTGAGGTCCAGATTTTTGTAAAATAAGGATTGCCATAGTTGTAGACGAAGTGCTCTGCATCAGTAGTAATGTTGGTTCATGCATGGACTCCTGAGAAGAGTCTCATGTAGGACATTTTCAGTATCCCCTCGCAAGTTGTTGATGCAAGTTTTCCTTTGTTAGTGAAAGAAACTGCTGCTACTACGTGTGTTGTTTTGTTTATTGATGGTTGTTGGTTTTTTTCCCCATGTCCTATGTGAAATTAGGAAGTAGTTTCAGTCTAGAGTTTAATACTAATGCATTTGTGTATATAAAACAGATCTGCTGATCTGTGGAATGCACAGGAAATATTTTGTCATAAATAGAAATAATAAAGTAATTTTGATGCTAGAAGTAAAAGAAAACTGGCAAAATGTTGACACTTAATTTTAAACAGTTGGTGATCTGTGAACAACTCAGATTTGTCAGTCAGTTCTGTATTTTGTTTTGGAAATCTTTTAAATCAATTGCACATTGCCTTTCCTCTGAAAATTTTACTTGGCTTTCTAACATTAAAATTATGATTACTTCTTTAGGGTGGTAAAGCATAATACACCCTGGCTTTTACAGATGCATAAACCTTCACAGTATTTACTGAAGGCCATGGAGAAGCTTGGTATCCAAGTGGGGGATAGAAACTCAGCACTCCTGGCTTTTCTGATCTCTGCTTGAGCTACCCTTCCCTTTGGTGATTAACCCCTTGCAGGTGTGCTATGTGATGACAGGATATTCTGGAGGAATGGTCTGGAGATTGTACATTACGAAAAATATTGTTCTTTGTCAATAGCGGTTGTTTCAAACCAAAACCATTGATGAGAGAGTCTCCAGATAGACGATAAGTGTCACTGACTCTTCTCTCAGTACAGAAGGATTTCATATTGAGGGTTCAGTTATGTCATAGGTTGAGGCAGTTATCTTTACATGATCACTGTGTAATCACAGTTAAGTTACAGGGGGTAACTTGCTTCTTCTTTTTCCCATTCCCTCTAAGTATTATTTAATGAGTGAAACAGTGAACTCGTTTAAATATTTTATACTCCTTTAAAACAGTGTGTTATATTGTGGGAGGTATTTAGGCTTTCGATTT